AGGGCAAGACCCCCTGAGGGCGCCCGGGCGTGGATGGGGCCCCTCGGCCCTGCGAGGCGAGGGCCGAGAGCTGTGGGAAGTGGGGACATGGGTGCGCAGGACTGTCTTTATTTTCTCGCTGTTAAAGTCTTTTTAATGCAGGTATCAGCGAGCGCTTGTGCATTTGAGGGTTGTTTTGTGTGTGTTTTTTAAAGCATAAGGCACTTTTTATATTGGCCTGTATTCAGTTTCAAGGTACCACTAAAATAGTGGACGCGCTCCTTATTAGAAAGTGAAGCAGTGAGCAGTCCCCCTTGGAGATAAGGGTAATTTATTGTCATTCACCACCAAGAGATGATGTGTGTTCCGGACAATGGCAGCGCCTGTGCGCCATCTGCCTGCCCACACCGCCACCCATCAGGCAGATAAATCTCCAAGTTAAGGTTTATTAAAATTCTGAGTAATATCACAGTACAGTAAATGCTAGCACCGTGGTCCTGCAGGGAATAGCAAACACTCATCGTTGGGATTAGTCATTCCTCTCGCTAAAGTGATAACTTTCAAAGGAAAAAGCGCACCAACCTTCAAAAAGTACATTGTTGGGGGGGGGGGGCGGTTATCCTTTCTTTTTCTTTCCAAATTTGCCTGAATACACACCTGTGGTCTAATCTCACATAAGTGATCGCTTGTTCCAAGAAGGGTACGGTTGTCAGGCAAGTTCTGCTTGTTTTAAAAATTTAACCATCCTCAGCACTTACATTTCTGCCTCTTCCCCCCCCCCCGCAAGCAGCGATCCAAAGGGCAACACCAAAGGGACCCACACTTGAAATTGATTTATATGGAAAGGACTCTGGCCTGTCTGCCACCTTAAGGAGCCATGTTGAGTAAAAGAAGTGAACTTAAATTTGATTAGTTCTGTGTCTGCCTGAATCCACTTTGATTCTGCATGGTTCTTACAAAACAAATTAAAAGCCGGACAACAAAAGAATTCTGTTCTGTAAGGAGTAATTACAGCTCTTCATGTGGGCGGGGTAGACTGCCTTTTCCCCCAAGTATTTGTACACAAAAACCCCCGCCCGGCTTTCCATCGCCCCCCCTTCCATATCCGTTCTCTGTCCGTCTCAGTGAAGGTGGGAACTTATTCTCCATTTTCCAAGTCACCAAGCGTCTGCGAACCGGCCGCGGAAAAGGAGTCGGCCTGGGTGGGTCATCGGCAGTTTGGTCTGCTTGAGGCTTGTGTCTGTAATCAACAGGTTAACATTCAGATCAATGACAGAAAGCTCTGAACTAAGGAGCCTTTCACCTTAAAGAGTAGCACGCAGGGGCCCGGTCTCATGACATCTGTGTGCTGTCCGACCTGTAGGACGTGGTGGGCTATCCTGGCACATGGAGGCGCTCAGGACTGAGGGCCACTCTCCCCTGCCATGTGGTCCGCACTGCGCCCCTGAGGAGCCCCCACCGGAGCTGTGTGATCCTGGGCAAGTTCCCGGAGGTCTCTGGGCCGCACTGTGTCACAGCCACCCTCCGGGAGGTCAGGCCCAGCCCTGAGCGAGGAGGACTCTTGTCAGTGCAGCCACCATCGCATGAATATTGATTCCTGAGTGCATGTGGGTGACACGGCTCACCAAGTGGAGGTTGAGCAAATGTGGCCACGTTTGATCCAGGACAGCCCCTCCCCACCCCGGCCCTCCCCGCACAGCGCTATTATTATTCCCAGTGCTCCAGGCTCCTCTGGCCCCCCAGGATAATTACCGCCCCCCCCCATAATTACCGGCACTGGAGGGTTTAACAGCCCTGGGCAGTGCCTCTGGCCTCCCCTGAAGCAGACACTCACCTCCCACGCTGCCTTTCCAGCCAGGAGAGGGGTGTGTGTGTGTGTGTGTGTGTGTGTGTGTGTGTGTGTGTGTGTTTTGAGTCGTTGGGAGGTCTGGTTTAGCTATAACATTGGTCATAAAGGAAAAACAAGAAAGCACAAAGAAAACCAATTAGGGGAAAATATGCTATTTGCCACCTCCAGTAAGTGCTATCAATTGCGCAATATTTTAAGCAATATTTTAATTACTCGAAGGTCTTAGTTGTAACAGGGGGGAACACCCAGTGGAGATGGGGCGGGGCGGGAGGGTGCAATTAGCCAACCCCTAAAGCTGCCTGGTAAGCCTTCAGTTCCGTGGCCAGAAAGCCAGTAGGGTAAAGGTTACGATCAGCTATGCTAACCCAGCTTATTTGAAAATGAATTTTCATTTTCATTTCTCTGGGTTTTTTTCTCTAGCATCCTGGTGGCATTATCTATGTACCCTTCTCACTTACTAATATATAACCAACCAATTCCATTTTAGGGCCCCAAATAAGTTCTCGGCCTATCTCAGCAAGGTTCAGTTCCAAGTCACATAAGTAGCTATATAAATGCTGTCATAGTCACGTTAAATATATAAAATAGGTGAAGTTAATTTCAGTAGATTTCCATTCGCCGAGTATATGCAAGCTGTTACATACACGTGCAGTAAACCTAACATTATTACTGAGACGGTTTACTTTTTTCTGTGAGATCTTTGAAACCTGCATGTGTATTTTACATGCAGAGCGCATCTCAGGCCGGATCAGCCATGTGCCAGGCGCCTGGCCGCCACACGTGGCCGGTGACCACCACCCTGGGCAGCGCAGGTCTAGCATAAGCCCAGATGCTATCAGGGCAAGTAAGGCAGGTCTGCGCTTAGAATCTCCTCTGAGGGAGGGCACAGCTGAGCGACTCACAGAGCTAACGTGTTTGGAGCCGTGTATTTAACACGGGAGGACCTGGGACCCAGAGGACCATGAAAGAGGGTTTGGTCTGAAGCCAGGGGTCTCCCTTTGATCTTCCTGGGCCAGAGCTTCCTCCAATGAGAGGAAGGGGCCTTCTGGCCCCACCCAGCATGCTTTCCTGGAGCTGCCTGGGGGGTCACCCTTGAGGATCCCCAACCCTGAGGATCCCCCCTTGCAGACAGGAGGTAGCCCTGGTCCCCTAGCATCCCTCTGGGTCCCCTTCCCCCCCTCCCCCTCGAACAGCAGCCCCTCCCGTGGAGGGACACAGGCTGCCTTGGGAGGCTCTGAGCAGCCAGCCGGAAAGTGCCTTTATCGGTGTGCCTCATCTCTAAGTGGAATTCAGTGGGAATCAGCATTATTATTGAGCGACATAAATGGCATAGCCTTTGTGAGAAGGGCCTTTTAAATAAGAATCCCTGGCATTTGGTTCTGAATGATCTGAACGATGTTACTGAATGATTTTACTGAATGATTTTACGTTGTAGGATTTGACAGACTCGGGGGAGTGGGGAGGGGGGCTGCAGCCAGTGAAGACGCCTTAAAAAAGGAGCGCTTGCCTCTGACTATCCTCCTCTTCCTCTTTTTTTAAAGATGAATGATTTTGGAATCAAGAACATGGACCAGGTGGCCCCTGTGTCTAACAGTTACAGAGGGACACTCAAGGTGAGTGAGCAAGTCTTACTAAAAGTTGGGTTTTTGCTTTTTTAATTTGGAAAGCTCAATCTCTAGGAGAAAAGAAAGAAAAAAAAACAACGATGGGTGGGGCCCCAGAAGACCCGTTCTAAGCCCCAGCTTTTCACTTACTGGCTGTGTGACTCTGGACCGTTTGCTGACTCTCTCTGGGCCTCAGTTTTCTAACCTGTAAAATGGGCATCCTGATGCTTGCTCTACTTGTCCTCCAAGAGTGGAACTCGTTTATTTTGTAGAAGGTGAGGCCCTGGTAGTTTGTTTCTGAGACTCCGACCCGGTGGATAAGCCTGTGGTTCTCCATGGAACGGAGCTGGAGCCAGTTTCCCGGGACGAGGGGAAGGCTGCTTCCGACGTGGAGGGAGTGCTGCTTCCTTGAGGCGGCCGAGCCCACGGGACAGCCTGTATCTGTGAACCAAGAAACAGATTAAGGATGAACGCCGCCTCTGCTGCCCAGCAAGCATATTTCCTGGGCTTCTATCTTAATTCCTCTTGGGAACGTGCTGTGGCAGCACAGCGGGTAATTCCCTGTCGGCTTCTCCATCCATGAGAGCGTGGCCTGACTGCTGTTGGTTTTGCGAGTAAACACATCTCGGGAGCAGTGGTTTTCGATCGGCCTCCTCTGAGCCCAGGGTTTTGTACAAATGCGTGTCTCTGGCAGGTCCCGTGTTGCTCTGTAGGTCGCTGGGAGGTTGTCTGTCTGTGGAACCCAAAGAGCCAACACTGGGCTCGGGCCTCTCTGGAGAATTACGGCGGCCATCCCTCCACTTGAGGCGGCGCGCTCCTTGCCCGTGTGGTCAGACGTTTTCAGAGTAGCCGGACGTGGGCAAGCTGTGATGGCACCAAGCTGCAAGGCACAGCCCCAGAAAAGAAACTTCCCTGTCAATTCAAAGACTTTGATGGTGTCCCTGCGACTCCTGGGTTTGGAGAAGCAGTCACCGGAGTTGACATGTTGAAAGAGGCAGCGTGAACTTAGTGTTGTCTTTGAACTTCCTCGTTTTAAAAAAAAAGAACTTGCTGTCAGTGAAGCGAAGGCATTTCTTAGTCACCTGGGCAGAGCTCGTGGGGGTTTTAAAAGTCGATTGGCTATTTTACGCACAGTTAGTCCCAAATGATAAAGTAGTTTGTTCATCTACTAGATCCATGGTCGGCAAACCGCGGCTCGCGAGCCACATGTGGCTCTTTGGCCCCTTGAGTGTGGCTCTTCCACAACATACCACGTGCGGGCGCGCATGTACAGTGTGATTGAAACTTCATGGCCCATGCGCAGAAGTCGGTATTTTGTGGAAGAGCCACACTCAAGGGGCCAAAGAGCCACATGTGGCTCGCGAGCCGCAGTTTGCCGACCACTGTACTAGATGATGGGTTGTGCCCTCAATGTCTTGGGACATCTGTTGGACTTCACAGCCTTGGGTTTTGGGGGGACTGGGCTCCACTGAGTGTCTGGGGCCAGCTCCAACCTCTGCCCGCCCACTGGGGTAATGTGTCATCCATTGTTCTGCATTTCTAAAACGAAAGCACACGAACTGATTTTATTTGTAAATGTGTTACACATTTTCTTATTGATGACTCAACACATGTGTCATCACATGACACGCAACATGGGAGTTCCAGCCCCTGTTGGAAAAGTAGACTCTTCACATTTTTTCCTTGACTGGTTGGGCAATGATGAATCAAGGCCTTATCTGTTACTTATTAACGAGTCTTAATATGAAAGGCTATTTCTTGGATACATCTGAGATGAGAGGATCAGAAATGGGCAGTGTGCCGTTTTCTTGGTGTCTCTCTCCTCTCCTTCCCCCTCCACTGTAGGGAGTTTAACTTTAAACCCGATTCCTTTGGAATCTTTCCCCGTCGAGGAGTGTGGGGCAGGGAAGTTCTTTTTAACTCGCGTTACTTTTAGAACAGTGGACCTGCAGGAGCTTCCGCGTGTTTCACTCTTTTCTGCGCCATTGGGATTGTTGAGGGGAAAAAGCACCTCGTGTCAGTGACAGTGTTTCATTGTAAAATTTCAAAATAAGTGCCTCCGCGGATCTTCATTGTTTGATTTTTCCGTGTTCAGTCCATCGTTTGCCTTTGGTTTTCACTGCAGTGGCCTAAAACTGCCGGTCTTGCCAGGCTCATTTCCCTTAGACACAGGGCCTGACGGCATTTCTCTCCGATGATGTCACAAAAAGGCAGGTGCTGGAGCAGGTGGGCTCTGAGGCCCCGCCCCGCACTGTTCTTCTGGGTTTCTGGGTGTCTTGTCTTCATTTCAGTGGCTTAGGCCCTTAGAAATAAACTCCTGGTCATTCTGCCTCTGTGTGAGGGGGATTAAATGACCTTTTGCTCACCTGGGCCATCCGAGACGTCTGGGTACGGCGGGTCCACTCCAGGTGTGGCTTCACAATGGCCGGTTTGATCCGGGTATGGGGTCCGATGACCCACGGACCGCGTTGAAATCAGGTAACTCAGTAAGTAAGTATTATATTTCCCGTTTTCTTCCTGTCCCTTCTGCAGCGCCAGCCGGCCTTCGACACCTTCGACGGGTCCCTGTTTGCCATTTTCCCCTCCCTGAATGAAAAGCAAGCGCTCCAGGAAGTGCCCACCGGCTTGGATTCCATCTCTCACGGTAACCTGCTGCCCAGACCGGCCGTCGTGTGCGATGGCCCAGAGTAACGCGGGGAAGGGAGAGGACAGCGGATGAGCCATGAGTGCCCGGGTCTTGAGTGTCTGGCGTGAAAAGTCGGATGGAGGCTCTGGACCTGGGGCAGGGCCGTTTTCCCTTTTGCTGAGTGTGAGGATTCTGGTGTCTTCCCTGCCAGACGCACCCCGGGGAGAGCAAATGTCCTGCGCTTGGCACACTGCAGGGGGCCCCCGGGGTTTCCACCAGGGGGGTGTCACCCCCGCAGCTTCCCGGGGCCACTCCAAAGCAGACCAGGCCGCAGTCAAATGCAGCTCAGCTTTCCTTCTGGGTTCACAGTG